GCTGACATATAAAATAGTACAAGTAATAATAAAATATTAGAGATATGTTTTAAAGTTCTAATACTTTTTAGATTCGCACTAAAAAATCTATTAACATTTGCTTTTCAATATTAACCGAATATATGACGCAAATATGTATTATATAACAATATAACGAATGCATTAACTTTTGTAACTCTTACTAAGATCTTAGTTTTTATACGGATATGAATAATAATTAAGACAAAATGCTTTTTACAAATTATAGTTACAAGAAAATTAAATCTTATTTGAATATACGATAACATATTGCAATGATTTGTGTGTTTCTATATTCATGAAGAAAACATCGACTAACAGTTAATTAATAGTTAATTAACGTCACTTGTAAGTTTATGAGAAGACGTAAGCACTTACGTCTTTATCTCTGCTATCATCCTTACAAATATTAGTATGCAGAAATATATTAATAATGCAGAAATATATATATATATATTTCTTCACTTTCTTGTAAATATATATATTAATATGCGAAAATATAAATTATCGTAATATATTATTGTATACATTAAAATATTACCTAATTTTTTATAACTAGCATTTATATAATTATTATTCTTAATTATTATTTAAATATATGTATATAAAGTTTAAAATCAAAATAAGTGTCTCAAATGCATTTTCATTAGTGCATTTTTCTCTCAAAAGTGCATTTTTCATTATTTTCGTCAAGATAACGTTTGTAACGTTTTTTGAAATAAATTTATTATTTCGATTATTCAACATAAAATAAATTACGTTATTTGGTAGTCGCCACAGTTACAGATTTCATTGTTAAAAAAGAAAAAAATCAAATAAAAGATTATGCAAAAGTTTAACGCAATATCTCGAAGAATAATTTATTTCTTTTAATTTATCTCCATAAAATACGCAGATTTCTGAATATGGAACCGACTTATGCTAAAAAAAGATATTTAACTCCACAATCTGTGTGGATTATACTGTTTATTTATTTTACAAATAAATTTTTAAATATTTTTGTCTCAGTATAGTCATCGATAATGAACGTGACTCGGTGACAATTAAAGACGAATAAAGAAAAAGATCGAAGGACAGATTGGCTCACCTTTTCTGTCGTTCCACGATGCGTGGTATTGCCTTGCCAGAATCGCCTGCTGAAGCCCTTCACGTAGCCAATCTTGCTTTTCGTGTACGCAAAACCAGGATGCCAGCAAAGCGATCCGTATCCGAATACCCAGAGCTCGTTTCCTTCTGTACGATTCATCTCTGTTCTCTCTTGTGAAAAAGAAAGTGAGCTGATGACCGAGCTGTGTTTCTTCCTTACTTCTTCCTTTATCTTTTTCCTTTTTATTTTTTTCTTGTCTCGTTTCTGATAATATTGAAGTTCCAGAATACGCTTTTAAATTAAAAACTTATTGTCCCACAATATGTTTTAACATCTGCCGTTTTAACATAAAAAGAATTATCGTATTTTGTGATTATCTCCTTTTACTACAAAATAATTATTTTGTGCCAATTTTCTTGTAAATACTACCGTCAAAATTAAAAATCATTCATTCTATCACTTTTAAATTGTTAATCAATTTCTCTCAAAATTCTCGGAGATTGAGTTTCTTCATATAAAATCTTTAAATTCGAAAGTCTTATGTATTTTTTTTTCTAGTGTACAATAAATTTTTTCTAAAGTTTTATTCCAGAAAATTGCCGACATA